GTCCATAGTTACTATTGAAGTTGAATAGGAAGTCATATACTGGCAATCTAAATGTGAACTTAAAATTGACCTTTGACCTACTTTTCACCATGAACTGAACTCTGCTAATTTCTTTCTCTTTTAACTCCAAACCTGGCAGAGATAGGTCCATAGTTACTATTGTAGTTGAATAGAAAGTCATATACTGGCAATCTAAATGTGACCTTGAAATTGACCTTTGACCTACCTTAACTTAACTTTGATTGTACCATTTTAAGTTATATATATTTTTTGCGTATTTTGAAAATTCTTGTTGATTGCATTTTTATAGCTTGTCAAGCATAAGACTGGTGGCTGTGTCCCTTATTTTGTGTATGTGGGGGGTCTATACGAATGCGCTTGCTCCAGCTGGTGGTACAATATTCGGAGGCGGTATCGCCTCTCTGATCCTCTAGTTATTATTATTATCATTATTATTATTATTTTGCTTTCTTAATTTTGATATTAGCAAACTTGATAATTTTTTGTGTTTATGGTTTTCTTTGCTTGTTGTGGCCTTAATTCAGCTTTTTTTTATTTTGGATCAGGGTAATACAAGGACTTGTTATATCATATAAAATGCTGTTTTTGATATTTTATCAAATCTTCCTGTAATTTAAAAAGAAAACAAAAATGTTTAATAAAAAGAATATAATTTGAGTTGATTAACTTTGCAGTACCCTGTATCATGTACATATGTGACATTAATTGTTATATTTGTTATTCTAATCTTTGTCATTATGATTCTCAAAACTAATTGTTCTTTGTAATAACTCACTCTGGGCTTACTTCCAATTTTATGGATGTTGTCAACCAGAAATCTGCAAATCTGGCCAGAATCTCACTGGTAATATCAATGTTGAATCTAAGAAAATGGGTTACGTACCAATTATTTCCATTGTGATATTTTTAAAGAATTTCATCTACTAGTATTTGGAGTAAGTCCAGATTTGTTCCCCTGTCTTTGTTGTTTTATTTTGTTTCCTGTTTTATCTTGTTCTTAATTTCTCTGAGTCTTAGATGGTGTGCAATGGGACAGTAGCTACAGCACAGGTGAAGTAGTCTTGGTATATAGCCATCATATATCAAGTCCTATTATATAAGAAGAAAAAAAAATATATATATATATAATATATATATTGTGTGTGGCAAAGGGTGTGTGAGTGGCAATAGGATATGTGTAAGACCTGTGTAATCATGTAAAAAGCCATTGCCAACAATGTTCAACACAGTATGTCCACATTTGATGGATGACATGAGCAGAAAAGTTATAGTATTTCTGCATTAAAGATTGATTTTATTTTGGTGCCCTCTTACCTTTTCTTCTATAGTTTTACACAGACAAAATAACATGACCGTATAATAAGACATTTGGGAGGCATTTTTTAATTAGTTTTTTGTTTATTTGGTTTTCTGGTTTTAGTGGCACCCAAACTCCTGGCCTTAGCACATTGAGTCATTTCTTCCTACTTTTTTCTTATAATTTCAAACCATGCAACTCTGATATAGGAAAAGGGGTATGCAAATTAGTACAATCTTTGAAATACAAAATGCCAAAGAATATAATGATTATTTTACTATCTAGATTGAACATTGTTGGTATTTAAGTGTGGCAAGAAAGAGTGATTATTACTCAAGGTGAATCCCCAAAATATATGCATGGTGCTTCAGAAGTATATATCTGTTGTATGCTATTTATATAGTGTACAGTTGCTTTGTTTTTTAATGGGGTGTAATATAGACATTTTATTAGTATCACAAAGGGTGTGTTCAAATCAGTTCTAAGTTAAAACCACTTTGACTCTACATGCATCATTGAATGTCAAGAGTAAAACAGAGTGACTAATGGTTTTCACATAGAATCCAAGTGAACAGGCCTTTGAGTATGAAAGGAACTGGGACTATTGTTGCATGGCCTGTTGTCAGAGGTATGCCTTGGGATTGTTTAGAATGAGTTAGCACACAAACTCTGCAGGGATTTACAGACTAACAAACCTTTTCTTGTTTCCAATGCACTGGTACAATCGCTATCTTCTCTATATTCTACTTAGGAGGAGGAGGCGTGTAAGTCTGTTAAATTGATCATTTTCCTGTAGAGTTAGTGTGCACTGATTTTTTAACAACCCATTGGCTATGAATCAAGCAGATCCTTTTTTGTGTTTGTTTGGGGAAGGGAGAGATTTGGAGTCGTGCATCATCTTAACCCTCAGTTTTGGCTGGCCTGTGTGTCAAAGCCAAAGCTTTGTACTAATAGCATGTGGTTTATTGCAGCTGATGACAAGGAAGAGAGTTTTCTTATGGTTTTAGACATTGAAGTGTGTGGCGAGATGACAGAAATAGGGACATTATTTTAGTTTAAGGCACAGTTAAACTGGGTTATTCATTTATTTATTTATTATCTTCCTTTAATTTTGGTTATGGAAAATATTTCAATCTATGGTACTCATGTACTCTTACTTGGGTACATTGATTAAATCTCATAGAAAGTAGTTAATGTATTAGTTTGAATAGATTAGACTGCATTGGATGAACATATATTTAAATTGCTAAAAAAATTGCTATGCTCTATTATACATAGGCCAAGTTTGTTTTAGGAATATATCTCGGTATTACCTTTTTTTCAACTAAAGTGTGTTAGATACCTATTTCTTGACTCTTTACCTATCAGTTCACAGTTTCTTTCTTTTTTTTTTAATCAAAATATGATCTGAATGCTTTACTGTCAAGAAAGAGAAGAGGCTCTCTGTTATATTCTTCTGTCCACTTAGATAGAGTTTGGGGGATTTTTAATCACCCCTTAAACCAGTGTGCAGTCAGGCATGCTTATTGAAAATTATTCCGCCTTATTTTTGAATTGGCAGCAAATATCTTCCATTCCTAACAACATGGTTGTTAATCTATTGCAGCAATTCGTTCTGGAGACTACTACATGTTTGAAGATGACTCGGACGAGGACACCATTTCCACGGACATCCATCTTGGCAGGGATGAGGATGAAGATGAAGGGACGGAGGAGGAGGACAGGAAACCAGGACCAATGGAGGTGATTGACAGGAAATATTTAGTGAAAATATATAGTGGAAAAATAGGGGGGGGAAAGGCTGAAGAGGGCTTGAAAAGTTTTTAAATTACCAAAGGTAATGATATTGAGGAGGAAAGGGTGAAGGAACAGAACATTTTATCAAAATGAAAATATTTCTAATTTTATGAATGATTTAATCAATCATATTTATAATATTACACGTTTTAACAAACAATTTTATTAATCTTATATTATCTAATAGTAAATTTAACAATTTGTTATTTAACAATCCAACTATTTGGTAAAACATAATTTGAAAACATTATTGTATAATCTGTTTACTTACAGATTTAACGTTATTATTATTATTATTATTATTGTGTATCTCAGTTGCTGACCACGGCACTGGAGCAGGGTACAGGGGCGGCCCTGGACAAGGCACAGGTGCCCACAGAAGGGGAACACACAGGAGAGGAACAGGTAGGACGATGTCAGTTGTGGTGATGATGCCATCTCTTCAGTGCACATAATTTTGGAGCCATTAAAAGTTAATGATTTGGTAATGATTTGGATATTTTCAGAGGGGGAAATGATCAGTCTTTCAGATACATACATAGTTTTGGAACTATTTAAAATTATATTTCTATATAGCATTTGTGGTCCTTTTGGGCTTTTACGATAGAGAGAACTATAAGATAGTGGCCTGCTTTTCAATTTTGCTGCAGCTATGCACTCAGTGGAAATGTTTTAATTTTAAGAATTTATGACTTAAAAAAGTAAAAATACCATCTGCGAAATTCACAATTTCCGCCATTGAAAAGATCAGTTTATTGCCAAAGGTGATATATTTCATAGACATTTTTAGATTTTGTCAGATTGTTTAAAATAATTAAGGGATAATGCCTACTTACAGTATTTGACTTGATGAAAATGTAGCCACCTGTTCTTTGAATAAATCATTCTCTGGCTTACAGGTGAAGTTTTTAGCTAAATTGAAAAGTAAGGCAGCCCATAAGGCCAAGGCAATGCAAAGTTTAATTGAAGATTAAATGGATTTGAAAGTGAAAAGTGAATATTGATCCATAGCATGTGATAATGTCCAGCTCAGATCATACTTTGTACAAGTTGAAATTGTAAAAAAAAAAATAGCACTGATGAATTTGACAAATGTCAATAAAATAGAAGTTGAGATATAAGACACTTAGACAGTGAAGAAGAACTCGGTTCTAAATTTAAAAAGAGACTTACCCCTGTGTATTCTCTACTCTAGCCCCCAGGTCAGTCAGGCACTGAGGATAGTGCCACAGGGCCCAGCACCACTCAGACTGGCGCCAGCGGTGCTGATGGTGGCCGTGGTGGTGGTGGTGAGGATGGAGCAGAGGAGGAAGAGGAGGAAACAGAAGGTGTCTTTCATGATAAATGCATTAAATGCATTTAATTTCCATTTAATTAATTGCAGTCTCCCAAATCTGAGGGATCTATTGGATCACTTAATACTTTACATAAGCCCATGTTCAAAGGGAGTTGGTGGAATTTAAAGAATGACTCTTTTGGTTGGGGAAAATGTCAACTCTGAATAATAATTTAATCCAGGGTCTTTATGCCATTTAAAATAATAATAGCAGGATTCACACAGAAAAAAAGATCCACCTATATAGACAAAGACTTCTACCCCCACCCCTTATTAAGTTGTTTGCTACAGGCGTGTTATTTATGTCATTGCTATTGATGTATTTCAGCAACAAAATGGCAGAAAGTGAAGAACTACTTGAAGTTGGGTGTTGCCTTCTTTGGAAGTCTTCTGGATTCCTTCATCAACCTGCTGAATGACATCTCACGGGACTACAGACTGGTGGCACGCATTCTAGAGCGCGAAAAGGACCAGAAGAAGGAAGAAATAAAAGTAAGGAATGTATGTATGCCACTCTACTCTCCTAGATGTGCTTTCCTGTTTTCCAATTTTTTCATCAGAACAAAATATCTGCTTAACAGTTTTATTTGTGAACATGTTTGTTATGTGATAATTTAATAATTTTAGAGGAATAGTGAATATGGGTACAGTGGTTTTTGGAAGAACGAGATAAAAGAATGTTTGGTCTCATGTTCAAAAATTCAAAAAGGCAAAAATCAAAAATGACAGTTCTCAAACACAAGCCAGGTCTGGCTGCTATACCACTTACTGGTCAGTGAGTAACAACATCTACTCACATCAATCTGATGAAGGCCTACGTCCAGGTTGACTGTAAGCTAATGGTATGAAAGTTTTTCGGCTTGTGTTTGATAATTTTCATTTTTGATCCAACTTCCAAGCTTATTAACATTTTCGCTCATTTAGAAAGGCAAATCTGGTAAGTGTATGTGAAAAAATGATAAAACCTTTAAAAACATATTGAAATGAATAAGGTGTTTGAAAATTATGCATGCTTGTGTAGTTAACATACTGAGGTTTAACATACATGTATATACGAAATATAATGTGTTTGTCGTTGATATTCTAGCATGGAGGAAGGGAGATGGAAGACTCAACCAGAGCTGATCAATCAGATGAAGAAGCTGTCAGGAAACCTGCAGAGTAAGTATAGGAAACTAGAAAGACTAGTCGAATAATTCTTTAAATTCAAACGCAAGCTTTTTAACTCATTTCATAAATTAAAATGTTAAGCTATTTTAGAATCAATATATTATTCAAGTAGCTGAAAAGAAGACGTTTGCAAGCACACCCCTAGGGGTGAAGATCATTTTTATTGCTTTCCAAATGCGTACAATGTTTAGGAATTAACCCCACCCTCACCCCCGGTATGATTTGTGGGGTTTTGAAAATTTTGATATGAAAAAAGTATGATCTTTTAAGTTAATATGTACTTTGATGTTGATTTCAGAGTGAGAATTGAAGTGGAGCCGAGCAGTGCTAGAGACAACATGACATTGGTGCATTTAGAGACGTAAGAACACTCTCTATGGGGGAATGGTTTTTCAGTTTAAGTGAAATACGAAAAGGGAATATGCATTGAACTCATTTGCTATATTTATAAGTTGAGTTTTTAAAGCATACAGTCTTTATGACTCTTCTGGCCCCCTTGTTGTTGAACTACAAAGGGCGGTTGGTTTTGGTTTACCATTTTATGAAAGATATCTTCTTACTTGCATGGTTCTTGAGGCTTTCCTTACTCATAAGTCCTGGGTCTATCTTTCAGGCTAGAGCAACAAGCCTTTGATGACCTAGAATACCTGGAACGCCACTCCAGAATTTACCGCCTTCTTAGCGCCCTCTATACGGCCATCATCTCGCGGACAGAGCTCCTGTGCTACTTCTTCATGATCCTGAACCAGATGCTGTCGGCCAGTCTGCTGTCCCTGCCGTACCCTTTTGCTGTGTTCATGTGGGGGATGCTGTCTGTGCCCAGGCCAGCCAAGGTGTTCTGGATCACCATCATTACCTACACAGAAGTAAGGATGCACACGCACGCACTCACTCACTCACTCACTCACTCACCTACTCACTCACTCACTCACTCTCTCTCTCTCTCTCTCTCTGACAATGTGTGCACAATAATGAGCATATAATAAGAGGAACAATCATGTTCATATGTACACACATACCTATATTTTAAAATGGCTAAGATATCACACATATACATTTCATTCATATGGTGCACTGTGCACGCGTGCACACACATGCACACACACACATGTCGATGAAGACAAGTTACAATATTATTGTTGTACATGGTCCTTGCAATGGTAACAGTCATACATACATCAATTTTTCTTGACACTGGTGGTCCACCATTAGATGTTATCTTCTCTGCATTAAGTTAAAAGATGAGTGTGCACTTCAAAGGGTTTTATGACAGCTATGAAATGATATATTTATGTGTCCCTCCAGGCGGTGGTGGTCCTCAAGTACCTGTTCCAGTTCGAGTTCTTCCCCTGGAACTCTGAGGTCTTGGTTCACAAGGATGACGTGTTTTGGCCGCCCAGGATCCTGGGAATTGAGAAGAAGGATAACTACGCCACCGTGGACCTGTTTTTACTGCTTATACTCTTCATACATAGATCTGTGCTGAAGGTAGGATTAGTGAAGATTGTTTGTGTGTGGAGAGAGGGAGAGAGAGAGGGGGGGATGAGATTGAGAAGAAGTCAGAAACATTCTTTGTAAAAAACTGTCATCAGTTAGAACTCTTCTTTCTTTGACACCTTACTTCCTATTCTATTATCCTTTGTTTCTGAAGCTGTTTTTTCCTTTCATCTATATTTTTCCTGGCTTTACTGTTGACCTTGTAGAGTTATGGGTTTTGGAGAACCAAGGAATCATTGGTAGAACAGTTCAATAAAGCACATAAGATGCACCAAAAAAAATGTGTCACACGTTTTAAACATAGGAAGTCAAAAGTAGGTCTGTTTATAAGCACAGTTCAAAAATTTGTTTGTTTATTTATTTTTTGTTTTGTTTTTTCTGTTCGATGTTACTGCATTATTAATGCTTAATGTTTTCAAAGTTTGATTTCATGTGTTAAAACTTATCCAGTTATTTTATATATCCTTATTTAAGTATTTCAGTCTAAAATTTTTAACAAAAATGATATATTTGAAATTGACTTTTTGTATTTTAAAGATTCATCAACAAGAAGTTGACTAATATTTTTCTTTGTGGCCATATTTCTTTAAATGTTTGCTTTGTTTGTTTAATTCATTGGCCTTAAATTATTGAATGTGCCTTTGCTTTTTTTTCTTTTTAATCATAAGAGTGAATGAAAGCTGATATACTGCTTAATTGCTGCAAGTGTTTTCATGCCATTGAATTTGAACATTTCCAGTTCATATTTGAAATTGAATGAAAGCTGATATACTGCCTATTTGCTGCAAGTGTTTCCATGCCATTGAAATGGGAGAATTTGAAAATTTCCAGTTCATATTGGAGGGTGGGGTGGGGTGAGGTACTGTAAGCACTAGCTGGGGGTGGGGTAAGGGGGGTATGGACTGTGATCAGCTAATGTCTGTTAGGGTTATGGACTTTGATTTGTTAATTGCTTTTAGGGTTGTGGACTGTGATTTGTTAGGGTTATGTATTGTGATCTGTTAATGTCTGTTAGGGTTATGGACTGTGATTTGTTTATTACTTTTAGGGTTATGGACTGTGGAAAGATGAGCAGAGTCTTGAGGAAGATTTCCGCAAGGCTGAAGCCAGTGAGAGAAGCCACCCGGGCTCCCCTGAAGACGAGAATGTGGTAAGATTTGGACAACTTTTTTCTTATCTTAAATTTTTTCATGCAAGCTGCATGTATGAATGGCATAATTGACTAACCCTTTATTCAACATCAGATTCTGTTCTCTCTGCAGCTTTTTTTATTTAAAAATGACAGTTTTTCTACATTGCATTGTCACAACTGCAATATTGTATAAACAAACGAGCAGTAATATTTTTTTACTTTTCCAAGTGAGGTAAAAAGATAGTTTTGAGCTGAAAAGGAGATAGCATGCATTGAAAGAAGTTCAACCTTTAAAGAAGTGCAGCATGTTCAACTTTTAGTATGTTGTATGAGAACCTTCACTTTTTTGCACTGCATTTTTTACAAATTAAAAATAGCTATGTCATTTTAAATGAAACATCAACATTGTTTTCAGACCCTGAGCACAGAAGCTGGTGCTGCTAGTGATGAGAAGGAAAGCAGCGGGGAGACTGCGGCTGAAGAGGATGAGCAAGGGGAGGAAGAGGGAGAGGAGGAGGAGGAGATGTTGGATGAAGAGGAGGAGGAAGAGACAAAGAAGAAGAAAAAGAAGAAAAGAAAGAGGAAGTATGGACAGATTATTACAGTTTTTTCTAATGTCATCTTTTTTCAATCCAATTATCTTTCAAGGGATATAAAATTGGTATTGGGAAGTCATGTTAGCAGTTTTTTTTTTTTTTTTTTTTTTTTATACACTGTACTTACTTACCAATAAATAACTACACAATAACTAAACAGTAACTGAGAAGAACATCTCATGGTGAACAAAGACCTTGTTTTGTATATATAAATCACAATATTAACAAATACGTATTGGCAAAGACTACAATAATTCCCCTTTTCAGGCCCACCATGTCATGGACCAAGTCAGTGAAGGAGTTCTATCAGAATATGACCAATCCTCTATACAATGCCACGGCAGATGCCTATGCTCCCATGTTTGCCTGTGACTTCATTAACTTCCTCATCATCATGTTTGGGTACTGGGCATTTGGACCACCTGTAAGTATACACCTCCCATGGCACATGGCATATTCTGATAGAAATAGTCCCAAAGTCCCAAAAGATGGTCCCAAAGATTATAGTTAGTATCTTGATGTTTAAGGTTTTGGGATTATTGCATGATTTGTAAGTTGGATCCTTAATTTAAAGGGATAATAACTCTTCGTATGATATCTATATTTCACAATAAAAACATTGTGAACAACTCATAGAAATATAATATATTCTGTTTTACCACAAAAACGTCAGTTATAGCTATTATTCTCATATCTGAGCTTGTCTTCAGATCACGTGACCTCCATTGATGGCTGTACTCAGTTATAATCTCTTAAGAGATTTTAACAAAAAAACAAACTTTTTAGAAAAAAACCAGGGACTAATTTTGAATATAAAAATGGATTCATTAACCATTGGTAAGTATGGGAAAATTGTTGTTTACTCCAGGAAAATTCATTTTTTGGCCAAAACGAAGAGTTATTATCCCTTTAATTGCTTTTTTTTGCCATTGAAAAGATGAGAGTAATCCTTTTTGCTTCAATTGATTGATAGATTTAAAGAAATTGAATATCAAGACATAAGATGGATTTAAGACAATATTTAAACTTCCAGACTGCAGCCAGTGGGGATGCCTCCAGTGTGGCTACATATATATCAGAAAACAGGGTAAGCATGAAAACATAAGAACCAGACTTAGCCCTTTCAAACTTTTTTCTGCTCCTGGCAAGAAATAATTTTCTTCAGTAGTACGAATTGAAATATATACTCAGACTTTTTTAAAATTAAAATCAGAAATGTGTTTTTTTTTTTCTTGAGTTTTTACTGGCTTCAGTTGCTCTTTGGTCATAAGACCATCAAGCTTCCAACTTTTTTTTTTCAAACAACCCCAAATCCTCCTTGTACACCATATTAATGTCAGTTTGGCTCTTGGACTTGCCATTTTCTATTACAATAATTCAGTAAGGATTTATCAAACAGTCCTAAAGGCATTTGCTCTTGTGACCATTCTAGATCCCATGGCCATTCCTGGTCATGCTGATTGTCCAGTTTGTCCTGATAGTGGTGGACAGAGCTCTGTACCTGAAGAAGGACGTGTTTGGCAAGTTTGCGTTCCAGATTATCCTGGTCCTGGTGCTACATATTTGGGTATTCTTTGCTCTGCCTGCTATCACTGAAAGGTGAGATGGTGTGTGGGTGTTTGTGTATGTGTATGTGTATGTGTGCACCCCTGTATGAGTGTGAGAGAGCAAGAGAAAGAGAGAGAGAGAGCAATAGAGAAAGGATAAAAGTACAATCTTTTCACTAAGACCACATTCAGATTCACACATCTGTGGGGGATTCTCACTATAGTGCAATCAGGGGAATAAGTTTCTCAAGCAGAGGGGGGGGGATAATTATCTACTGTGTGCTTATGAAGCTGATTCCACTGACTGCACTTTAGGCAAAATCCTTTGCAGAGTTGGATTAACACAGCTAGTGTGATGAGTGAATATGAATGCACCCTAAGTGTACCTCAGAAAATGAGACTTAGGAAGGAAAGAAATTTTGGTAGTCTAGCATGACAAATTAAAGTTACTTGACAAATTATAAAAATAATTTGACATCTTGCTTTTGTTTCAGAAAATTTGTAGACAATGTCCCAGCTAATCTATGGTACTTTGTGAAGTGTGTTTACTTTGGGTTGTCTGCCTATCAGATCAGATGTGGCTATCCGACCAGAATCCTGGGCAACTTCCTCACCAAGTCCTACAACTACCTCAACCTCTTCTTATTCAAAGGGTGAGTATTTAACTAGGTTTTTCTTTATATTGCAAAATTGCAGAACTTATTTTATTCAAAACTGGTTGGAAGAGGTTGTTTTTTCCTCTGTGGTCATATTTTGTCGTCAAACTATTTATCAGCAGGTATTTTATGTCTATCACTTTTGTCTTTCTGCTTTCACACATACACATTAGCACGCACGCAAGCAACCATGGGTGTACAGCACACACATACACTAGTTTTCACACTGATAAATGTATTTGTCATATTTTTCTTGTTTTTATTTCCGTTCCTCTGGAATTCCTCTGTTTGGTAATCAAGTTTCAGTCAAGCACCCCAATATCACTTCAGTGATTCATTCTTTTAGTTTTCACACACACACACACACACACACACACACACACACACACACACACACACACACACACACACACACACATATGCATTTTCTCACTGATAAATGCAAATGTACATGTATGATAAATGTATGAAATACTTGATTATTTCAGCTTTCTGGCCATCCCGTTCTTGCTGGAGTTGCGTGCTCTGATGGACTGGATCTGGACAGACACCACCCTGGCGCTGGGCAGCTGGCTGCAGATGGAGGATATCTACGCCAATATCTACGTCCTCAAGTGCTGGAGGACTGCAGAAGATGTGAGCAGAGATGTTCTTTTATTATTATTTATTTAAATTCGTATTTATTTTCTTTTTAAATTATTATTATTATTATTATTATTATTATTATTATTATTATTAAGCAGTAGTTATAGTGAACTAGTTTGTGAGAGTGCCAAATTGAACAAATGCATAACTGTTTTATATAACTTTATTAAAATTACTGTAAGTCAAATGCGTACAAATATTGCACAAAATGTGTGCATCACTGATGTGACTCATCTGTTCACTTTTTTTTTAATTTTACAATTATGAAGTGAAGATATTATACCACCTATTTATTTATTTATTTATTTAATTTCAGAAATACCCCACACCTAGAGGCAACCCACGGCGAGCGATAGTGAAATACGGATTTGGTGGCTTGGTGCTTTTCCTCATCATCTTCATCATCTGGTTCCCGCTGGTCCTCTTCTCCTTCGCCAACACTGTATACCTGCCCAACCCTCCCATAGAGTGCAGGATCTCTGTGGAGCTGGCAGGATATCTGGTAGGTGATAAAAGGACTAGAATTCTGAGTAAAAGAGTACAATTAGTAATAATGAATTCGCTAGACACAGTTGTTATTCGGACAAATATCAGGTAGGTAAGGTTGAAATATATTATTCTCTTTTCTGGAACATTTCTTCAAATGATCAGAAAATGTTCACTAGTAAAAATGACTATAACTTACTTAAAAATGAGATGGCAGGTAATTATGGTGCTTGTATAGCATATTCATATGACCATCCTGACTAAAGTTTCATACTAATCAAATTTCCTGTATGAGCCATAAAATACTAAATTTATTCATACCAAGCAGTATTCAGCATGGCACAAAATATGAGGGGCACTGTAAGGGATGTATAAACCTGGATGTCTTCACTGGATTAACTCCTGATTTCCTTTCCAGCCCCTGTACCAGATGAATGCCCAGCCGGGCCAGATCTACCAGTTCACAGACCAGGATTACAGGACACTGCAGGATAACTATAAAATGGATAACGTAAGGCTGCATGCAAGGCATTTTTGTGTTATATATAACCCCAACTCTCTATTATGTTATCCTGTTATCTCATTTCTTTGTGGAATTCTACCTGAATGTGGCAAAGACATTGCTGTTTAAGTTTGTGTTAAGAATATGTTACAAGAATATAATCAATAATGATAATAATGTTTACACATATTACTTTTAAAAGAAGTAGTAGTTGTAACAGTTACTCTAGTAGTAGTAGTAGTTATAGTTGCACTATATTAAGTTTTTTTATTATTATTATTGTTATAATTATTATCATTGTTTATTATTTTTAAATTATCATTATCATCATATTTTTGTTATTATTATTATTATTATTATTATTATTATTATTATTATTATTATTATTATTATTATTATTATTATTATTATTCAGGATGTCCAAGCATTCCTGAGTATCTATGAGGCCAAGGATACAGTGAGGATAGAAGTCCTGGGGACGTCCACCGCCACCTGGGCCATCAGCCCACCCACCATGATGGACATGGTGAAGGACCTGAACGACACGAAGAAGGACATCAAGATCAGGCTGAAGGTGGAGATGATCAGGTGATGAAGGAGTTCTTGGTAACGAGATGGAGGTCTTGTGGATTTATCTGGGAATAGGGATGTTTGGGTGTTCAAATGATGCCTCCAAGACCTCCTACCCCCATAAAGAATGGCACTTCCCTCGAATGCTTGCATTTTCAGGTTTTTTTTTTTTTTTTTTTTCAAAATAAAGAAAGGTCCACTTTCATCTCTGTTGGCACTTAGGCTAAGGCATAAGGACATTGCTGACAAAATTGTTTTAGTTTCATCTTATTATAATGAACATTTGATTGTAGCCCCACCACCAGTATAATCAAGGTAAAATGTTCATGAAAAAAATGTGGAGAGCTGAAGAAAATAAGGAAAGTAATGTATATGAAACTGGTTGCAATTCAAGTAGTAGGTGCACGTAATGGAAGTAGTTCTTGAAAATTAAGCAATTAAAAGACAGTTTTAACTCTAGGTTATACTTTGAAACTTTCAGGTAAAAGTTAGGTCATCAAATTCTAACGTTGTTATCTATAAATTTACCTGGATAGATTACCTTGAATCAGCCTATGAATAAAATATAGATAGAAAGATATTGCTAAGACATGCAGGTTACTGAGGATGCAACAGTAATTTTATGTTAGTGTCTAGATATTCTGTGATACATTTCTATTTTCTGGCTGTCATTTTTCCAGGGATCCAAAAAAAGGCCAGTCAGCCAACATCATCAGTCAGTGGTTTGAGCGGCCACTCAATAAAAGTCAAAGAATCGAACTTGCAAGGATTGTTAATACTAGTAATACATTTGGAAGTTTGGGCAGTATGTAAGTACATTTTCTGAAATTGCCTCTGCGCTTGCACACAATTTATTAAATTTGCACATAGTTATACATTCAGAAATCTGGACAGCAGCTTTGGTCATAGTTTTTTTTTATGTACAGACACAGATGTGTCTGTACATATAGCCATCATCTGCGTCTGTCGTCGCCGTCGTCGCCGTCGTCGCCGTCGCCGTGCACTTTTACCGATAACACGATAAGTGGAAAACCATTTTACCTTTTGACTTGAAACTTGCAGAACTGATGAATATTCATAATACGCAGGTCAAGTTCGAAAATCAGCATGATCGGGTCACTTTTAGGGAATTTATGCTTTTTTTTCACTTTTTTCAGCATATATGCAGCACCGATAACACGATAAG